TTTAAGTCTTCCAGGTGGACGACCCAGACGACTTAGAATTAAAATGTTTCCAATTCGTTTCTTGTTTGCAGATGGCGAATCAGCATGAACCTCACTTCTTGAAGCATCTGGTTCCTGGTTTCTACAGTGGTGTGGTATACACACACTCTCTATTTCTCCTCTGTTTATTTCCTTTGCTTATCTTCTCCTTTGTTGACTTGTAGACAATACCACTTGCCTTCTACTCAAAACACATAGAAGGCAAGCCAAACCAAGGAAAATGGACATTACGATCGGACGCTTCACACCAAACTTGGGAAGTTATACAAGAAGGAAGAAGACTCACCGATGGTTGGGAAGCCTTCGCCCAAGCACACTCCCTTTGCATCGGTGACATTGTCGTGTTCAAAAACGAAGGAGACATGGTATTTCATGTGACTCCTTTCGGTTCTAGTTTTACTGAGATTCAGTATACACCTCCTCAAGGGGATGATGCTGCGGATGGTGCCTCAACTTCCTCGTCTCTTCCTAAATGATGGATGTTTGTCTTGATATTGTCTTATTGTAATCTGCTTCTAGTGGACTTGTAATGGATGACTTCTATGTTGTTGTTCCCTTGTTTCAAAATGTTTTTAAACCTATGACTTGTAATGGATGATCAACTTTTATAACTACAACTCCTTTTGTCCTCTATGTACAAACCATGGTAACATCAATTTTAATTATTAGTCGTCTAAGAAGTCTAACAAAAATTATAACACAAATTCTTAAAACATACTCATAAAGCCTAGACGACTAAGTAGACGACTAATATTTTAAGTCGTCTGGAAAGTCATCCAGCCGGAATATTTGTTAGACGACTTAATTATTAGTCGTCTAACCCCGTAAGTATTCTATTCAGACGACTTTCAACTAAGTCGTCTGTTGAAAGTCGTCTGATATAGTTATTCTTAAAAATAATTTAAAAAATTTGTAAAAAATATTTAGATAAGTGAAAAATTGAAATCATGTAATTAACACCAGTTTTAAGAGATATAAATTAAGATAGAAAAAAAAAATTATTTTTAACATAGATGAGTGAAAGTAGTGAGTGATGATATTCTTTGGTTTTGGGTTTGCCAACATATGTTGTAGTATTGTATATGTTTCTTAGGGTTAGATTTTCGAAAGCGTAAATATTTTTTTGAAAAATTAAAAATTTACCTAAGTGTGTTTATTTCTATGTATAGTAAACTCTATTTAAGTATAATTTGATTTTATAAAGTGGTAGTTTAGTTAATTTAGTCAATTTAGTTTAGGGTTTAGGGTCTGGACGACTTATAACTAAGTCGTCTGGTAAATATATTTAATAAGGCAGACGACTTAGTCGGATGTATAGTATCAACAGACGACTTAATTATAAGTCGTCCAAATCGGATTTTACCGAATTACTTTTAAACCTAACTGGATTTTTTACCGGACATATATAAGATGATTTTTTTTTACTCAATTTTCGCGAAATTCAGAAAACCCTAACGCCGTTTCTCTCGAAGGTGATTTCGAGGTGATTTCGAGGCGATTTCGATCCGATACAATTCCAAGGTAAATCAAAGGCTTCTCTTGCTGATTTAATGGATTTTTATTAGGATGGATGTTGTTTTCCTTTACTTTTACCGTTTGTTTTTGCGTTTTCAGCGATTTCGGGAAATTTTTTGTTTCAAATTAGGATTTCAAAAATCGGGGATTTCAATAGATTTGTTGTTTAGTTAGGCTGGATGTTGTTTTCTTCTCATTTTACGGTTACCGTCGTTCTCATCGCGCTTCTTTTTTCACGTCTATTTTTGCAGTTCTATAACTGCTATGTTGAAGGCGAGTACATCTTCTCCGAATTTTCAGGTCAGCTTTCAAATGTTCTACTGGAAGTCTTGGTAAACTTATATTAAGTCGTCTGGAAAGTCTTCCACCTAGAACACTTTCAAGACGACTTAATATAAGTCTTTCGACTGAAAGACTTGACAGACGATTTAATTATAAGTCGTCTGGAAAGTCTTCCAGACTTATATTTAAAATGTTATATTGGATGGTTGTGTGTTTGAGATGGTTTTCTTTGATTTTTTTGCAGGATATTCTCGAACTCCCCCGTAGGATAAATACACTAGGGCAAGAGCCTATCGCTCAGCATAGCATTACGTATCATCCGTGTACGAGGTTGTATACTGCTCTAAGGAATGCTCTTAATGATGAAGAATATGAAGAGCTGAAGGAGTCTAAGTTGGGAGTTTTCATCAAGTTCCACGAGCTGGATTTTGAATGGGCTTCAAGGCTGGTTCACTAAATACTCTATTTCCAGCTCGACATAAAGAAGAAGTATGAGCTGTGGAGTCTTGCTGGTCCACAACCTTTGAGGTTTTCACTGTTCGAGTTTGAATACCTCACTGGTCTAAACTGCGAGTACATTGAGGACCTTGAGAGACCAAACTGTTCTGTTACAAAGGAGTTGGTTGCATTCTGGGAGTTGTTGGGAGTTAATGTCGAAGCTGGGCCAACTACTGATCAGATAATAGATGCATTTGGGAGATGCGAAAGGTGGTCTCCGGATGATCGCAAGCGGCTCGGGTACCTTGCCATCTTGGCTGGATACATTGGTTTGACCAGAAAACTCGGAAAATATTATGGACGACTTTGATTATCATGGACGACTTTAACATAAGTCGTCTGATCGGTCGACTTTCAATTAAGTTGTCTGGAGAAGTTAAAAATTTAAGTTTTATTTTTGAGTTGCAAAACTAACCTAAGACGACTTATCCGTAGTCGTCCAGAAAAAGTCAAATATCTGACACAATTCGGTCAAATGCAAAAGTAGTCCGTTTTACCTAGACGACTTAATTATAAGTCGTCTGGTTTTTTTTTTAACAAACAAAGCTGGACGACTTAGAACTAAGTCGTCCATTTGACCAGAAGACTTATCCGTAAGTCTTCTACATCCAAATGACTTACGGGTAAAGTCTTCTACGCGAACAGATCTGCAAAAAAATTCAATTTCATACCTTAAACTAGGTGAGATTACTTCCTTTGCACACAGAGTCTTCTCCAACCACCCAGAACATCAAACGAAAGTAACCCACCAACAGTTGTATGCTTAAATGGCTCTATCAACCATAAAAATTCTGCTATCAAAAGCTTGGTTTTTTTGTATGAATATGGAGACAAAGTGAAGGAGATGTTGTTTTTAGTTCATAACAATTGAGAAAGAGAGTATGGGTATCGATTGGGTTGTAAAAGCTTCAAACATTGGTTGTACAAGGTTGTTGGGTTGTACAAGGTTGTTGGGAGTATTCATGGCAATGACAATGTTGTAAATACTTGAAGATGATGAGGTTGAGAGAGTAAAAATGCCATTTTCGAAAAAAGTAAAAAAAAATGGCATTTTCGTAAATAAAATGAAGATGTGGGGTGAATAGGACAAAAACAAGAAGAAGTTAGTTTTGTGTTTGACTATGAGTTTTGAGTCAATTTTGCAAAATGCCATTTTATTAAAGGGTAAATATGCATTTATACCTTTGAGTTAACTAATATAGACTAAGAGTTTAGAGTTAAGGGGTAAGGTTTTGGGTTTAAGATTTCAAATTTTTATTTTAAAAGAATATTACAAATTTAAAATAAAAAGGACTATTTTGATCATTTTATTTTTTGAAGGTTATTTTTGTGACAAAAACTTAAAAATACTATTTGAGAGAATTATCCTATTTTATTATTTAATAAAAATTAACAAAACATAATTAAATAATAAATTTGATCTTATGTAAGAGATATTCGTTATAACTTATTTGATATCATGTTAAGTTTTTTTGGATTTTTAACTTAAAATTAATTTACAGTAAGTGATTTTTTTGTAGTATATATAAATGGTACATACATTTGGTTTTACTTGACCAAAACATATACTTATATATGGCAACGGCTTGCATCAATTATTCAAAATTGTACATGCGGTCTTAACAGTTACCAAATTATATGACCATGGCATACAGTTTATTGGTTTGTTGAATAGTATTGTTGTTATTTCACCATCAACAATTAAATTTCATACAATTCATATTATTGACAATGGAATATAAGGTGGATGCAGATTGGTGAGACATGGTCTAAGCAAACAGGACTAAATGATGGCAAGATATGGCGTAAAATCTTATCTCTCGGTCTCCAACTACCGAGTCCAAGGAGAATGTTTTTTTACCATATATATAACACATGCTATGATCATCCATTCATCCCCAACTCGAGTTAAACATCGTTTATCGTGATGTATTTTTCAATTTCTATGCAATTGCTTCTCTTATCATATGATCGTATAATATATTAGTATTGTTGGTTTATCATTAGGTCGTCTCATCGTACTGCAAAATATCTAACTACTACCTAATTATATTTGGCAGTTAAGTTCACTTTCGGCTCCCACTCGCCTAGTTTATCATTTCGAGCGCTGTGAAAACGTATGGGCACTATTTGACAATTGGTATTCAAAAACAGTGGACTCCTTGATATTTAGTCTTTCAAGATGGTTTGTGAATGAAATATTAAATATACCCCAAAAAAACAGCTCCTATTTTCAACAAGACATACCAATATTTGTGACATGGGTACTAGACTCTGTACGTGTAATAAGACCAATTGTTCATGCAAATTGGGATTCGCATATTTATAAAGACAGCAAACAAAACAAAAACGGCAAGGAACCTCTTAACATATGGTAGCATTTTTAATTATGTAGTCAAATCAATAGCTTAGTATTGGGAATGCGTGTAGATTCAAGGACATTTAAGGAGGCCTCGTAGCGCACAACCAATAAAACAGGTTGTCTTATCTTTTAAACTTAGTTAGATTTAGGATTATACTTTCGGAAAAAGGAACTTTCACATGTGCCTCACATGTGATGCTCTCTTTTAAATCTATGCATGTGTTTGTATATAAATACATAACCACAATCAAGCCCACTAGAAGGACGTGACTGAGTAGCCATCATTTCCCCCCAAAAAAAAAGAATGGCGTCGAGACCAGGTCTTCTCACGGACTGGCCATGGACACCTCTTGGAAGCTTTAAGGTCTATTTTACTGCTATTATTGCTTCGTAACACCTTCTATATGCATTAATAGAGACCATTGCTTTGTTAAAAAAATTTGGGCTTTCAGATAAGTGAACTGAGCTAAGTCTCTTATATATTATTTAGTCTTTTATGTCGGTTTTTTTCTCTAACATGTTTGTATCAACCATGAACCATTATTAATAATATTTGTATAAAATATGGATAAATGTTGCAGTACTTGGTGGTGGTACCGCTGGTTATCGACAGCATCTACTCGTACGCGACAATGCGAGATATCGATAGACTTTTGATAGTGGCGGTAATGGTGGGGCGAATTGTGCACAGCCAGATTTGGATAAGTTTTGCTCGGTACCAAACTGCGAAAGGGACCAAACGGATCGTGAACAAATCTGTAGAGTTTGATCAAGTGGACCGAGAACGGACGTGGGACGATCAGGTCATATTCAACACTCTTATTATTTACTTAACAAAAGTGTATGTAATAGGATCCAACACCGTTCCCTTTTGGCGACTCGATGGAGTGGTTCAAGTCGCTCTCCTCCATGCGGGTCCTGTTGAGTTCATCTATTACTGGTTTCACAGAGCCCTTCACCACCACTTCCTCTACTCTCGCTACCATTCACACCACCACTCATCCATCGTCACCGAGCCCATCACTTGTACGTACATATATATTACATCTATATATAATTCCTGATAAAACATATAAAACTGTTTAGATTTCCCTATCAACTACTTGATTTGCCTGATGCAAGTATCAAAGATATTCTTTTTTAAAAAAAAGTATCAAAAATATTGACATGTACTTGTACTTATAATGTCAAGTACTTGTAGTTAACCAAATACTTTGGATAACAAAACTGTGTAACGAACTTTGTCTAATTTTAATTACTTATAAGTTATTTGGTAAGATTTACTACTTTTTATTTACGTTAAAAATATAAAAAATCAGGTGGATAAAAACATAAATGTTTCTGAAACAAAAAAAAAAATATTATTAATATTATAATCAATATATATATAACATAACAATATGCATTATTTTTAATTTTTAAAATAATATGTCTAACTTAATAATATGCATTATTTTCACGTAAGATTGTTTTGTTTTTGCTAAATTTTGGTGCAGTAAGATTGTTTCTGTTAAAATATTTGTTTAAATATGGACAAAATGTGTTTCATAAAAATATGTTACACAAAAATAGATTTGATAGATGACATATGACATATATATAATAATTATAATTATATACAAGAGAAAGTGTAAAAGGAAAATTCTCCCTAATATAATTATATTTATAATGCATAATTTTTTTTTATTGCAGCGGTGGTACATCCGTTTGCGGAGCACATTGGCTATTCATTAATCGGGGTTTTTGCCAAAACTAACCCACAACTTGGTTTTAACCCCAATACTAGACCCCAACTTGAATCAAATGCAAATCTAACCTAAAAGGGCTATGAAATTACAATATAGTCCTCTGTGACCAAACAAAAAAACAGAAGACATTTTTACGAATATAACCCTAGTAAGTTGTCTGAGTTGGGCTGAGTTACTTTTCAGTCGT